GCAATCTCTAAGAACACCAATGCCTGCTCCGGTAGCCAGTCCCGTGAAAAAGTACGGTACGTTTCTGCCATTGTGCAAGGCAGCACTATTCAAGATTTAGTAAGATATACTAAAAATATATTTCTATAAAGAAAAACTATAAAACTCATGCTTTAGCTCATTAAAATTAATAATAAGCAACACGTATGTAAGACCCTTCTCTCATGTGTTTGGCCTAAGTGATTTTGTATGATACCCACAGGCATACTAGCTTCAATATCTAGTATTTGCAAAAATACCTGTCAAAACACTGTCAAACAGGCATTCATATTCACAAAATATTCACCTTAACATTTAAGTGTCTAGTTAGCAGAGCTGTTTTGAATGATATAAATTACTATCCTACCTGTTTCATGAAAGTAGTCTTTAGCCAGCTCAAACAGCCTGAGATGCATGTTGGTAATGGGATTGAAGGACCCACAGGCCAGCAGTACTACTTCAGTCTTCTTCTCAGGATCTTCCATAGCCATTCCGCACAACTACAGAGCCAAGTGGAGAATGTTGGTGCTAGTCAGCAGCCACTACAAGAGACGAGATTAAAAACCAGTTATTCTTACTTATTTGTGCGGCAAATAAGCAGAAGATTTCAGGATCAAATTGAACACTGTATTTTTCTTCCATCAACATTTGGCCTGTGATTGTTCATGTGATACTGCATTATCCAATTTTTAAGAGATTAAAGCCACCGCCTCTACTTCTTTCTGGTTATCCCTGGATAGAGGTACAACGCAGGGAGCCAAGACGACAGTGGCATTATAGAATCATAGAATGGTTTGGGTTGGAAGGGACCTTGAAGATCATCGAGTTCCAACCCCCCTGCCCTGGGCAGGGACCCCTCCCACCAGCCCAGGTTGCTCCAAGCCCCGTCCATCCTGGCCTTGAACACCTCCAGGGATGGGGCAGCTACAGCTTCTCGGGGCAACCTGGACCAGTGCCTTACCACCCACAAAGTGAAAAATTTCTTCCTAATATTTAATCTACATCTCCCCTCTTCCAGTTTGAAGCCATTCCCCCTCATCCTATCACTACCTACTCTAGTAAAAAGTCCCTCCCCAGCTCTCCTGTAGGCCTCTTTAGGTACTGGAAGGCCACAATAAGGTCTCCCCGGAGCCCTCTCCAGGCTGAGATGTTGCAGAAAGGAGGACAATTCTTCTGTGGGACTTCAGAAATTGAGAATATAGAGAAAAGTGAGTGTGCTGGCAAGAAGACATATGTAATAGAAAAGTGAACCCAAATTTGCCCTGTGCATGTATTGTCATAGCAGCTGCAATTCCTTCCTATATGCAAGAGGAAACATCTTTAAAAATGAAATGACCAAACACAGGCTGCATGCCTGAAGAGAGGACAGCGTACTGCCCTCTATGAAGAAAAGCAGCTCATGCAGAAAAACTGCATGAAGAGAGATTATTTGTCCTGATTGCAGGACAAACTTTATTAGAACTTTGCATGTTTTTTAAAATGCCAATGCCATCACCTGCCAAGAGACACATCTGCAGGGAACTTCCTTCTAAGTAACTTCTTACTTCTAGTGCTTATAGGGGTGAATAGAACATCCTATGACAGTTCCCAGTGCCACTACTCTAAATTGCAGTAAGTCTTTTCAGCAAAATCTACAGAACTAACATTCTATTGTATTAAATCCTGAAGGAGAGGAGCATTAACATTTCTTCATTTGGGATTTATTTACATTTTACATACTCTTGGTATGTGGGAAGAAAGCGCCATGGACTAAACATTAAAACAACCAATCTACTTTGTGTTGCAGAAAGTAAGTGGTAGGTGTAGCAGCAGAATGGATGATAGAAGAATAGTGCATTAAAAAAAAGATTAGTGAAAGCTGCAATTAAATACCAGAATTTTTTTTCCTTTTAAAAAAATATAACAGCACTGTTACAATTTTGAACTTCAGTTTCAGAAAGCTGCATAAGAATTGGTGAAAATAAGGAAACTTCAATCCTTATCTTTTTCAACACTACATGGATTTTTGCTTCTCGGTGTTCTTTTCTTTCATGGGAATATTCTGGCTTGCGAAGATGGTTTCCCCTAGCCTGGCCCTGAACAAATCAAAACTGGAATATGTTATGGGCTGTTCTGCTGTTGCTGCTTGTGAGATGTCTGAGGCATCTGTGTTGAGCACTGAATAGTCTGCCATTGTTTCTACAGCAACATCGCTGCCTGCAAAAACCCTGCAAGGTCACCCTCACATTCTGCCTCCTTTACAAAAACGCTGCGTGATGTTCCCAGCCACCACAGCGGTGAGAGATCGGCACAGCTAAATCTTGTAACGGCTATGTACCAACGTCAAATAGCCCTTGAATAAAAGGAAGTCTCGCAAGGCTTCACATTTTGCAAGTGTTAGTACTTTTCTGTGCTTTCAAGAGTTTCACAAACTTTTAAAACATTCTTTATTACTGCAGAGTAGCTCAGCATTGGAGGGTTTGGCATCACTTGGCACGCAGTCTTCACAGGGGCAGCAGCTACAAGAGTCACTATGGCAACAGGCAAGGAAAGGAGTTGGACTTGCCTTTGTAATGCATAAAGCCCTACTTTCTAAAGAAAGTGACTCATGCTGCAAATCTGGAAAGGGTTGATTTCCTCCTTTAAAAAAAAAGCAAGGGCAAAAAGACTAGAAAATTTTAAGATGAAAATATATAGTGCCTTTTCTGGAGTTAGTCAAATGTCATTTTTCATGCTGCTAGCTAATTTTACAGTCTTCAGAAGCAGGCAATTATTGCATTATAAACTCACCTCGTAGCGCTTCCTACCTGCGTAGAAACTGAGAATATAAATGTAATTTAACAGTTTGCACATACCCTCAGTCTCCTAATTTGCATTGACATCCCCTGTCTAGCACTGCTGTCGTAGAAAACAGCTGCAGGGTTGATGTGGAGAGCAGAGGGAGCGACGGAGAGGTCTCGTCTCATGACTACTTGTGCTGTTGGGTTATCCTTGTAACCAAGAGCACTGTCAAAGCTGAGCTCTGCTCAGCAGGA